GTTGGGCTCTCCGATTTATGCTTATTTTGTGATGGTCCTTTGTTCTATTTAGATGGTTTATCCCTTGTTGGATAGGTGCTTCTCCTTAAAGCTTTGGTCTTTCGTTATGTGGCTCTCATGCTATTTGTTATGTTTATTTAAGCGTCTGTTTGGAGGATATACCCTCGATGGGTCTCGTTGTTCTGTATTACTTAGCTATGCCAACATTCTGTATCAATTTCATGATACTTAATAAAAAGTTTTCATTTCATTGTGTACAAAAAGATAATTTTCTTTTAACTAAATATAAAACATAAAATATATAAAAAAAGATATACTTATATAATTTAGATTAATAAAAAATGATACATTGATTTAATTTTAAATAACAGTATAACATTACAACTTATATTTGAAAATTACATAATAATTTATTTATTTTTAAAGATTAAAATTATAAAAAATAAAATCCACATAAGATAAACAAATATGACAAGTAACAGATAAAACTCACATATGACATAATAAAAAAAAGAAAAAAAATATGATAGATGGTTAGTAAAAATTTGGAGAGAATATCTATAAAAACTTAGAACATATGAATAAATAGAATAAAAATAAAAAATAATATAAATTGAAAAAAAAAAACTTTTAAGTTATTTTGAGGGAATCATTAAAAAAATTTAAAAAAATATTTAAAAATTGTATATAATATAGAAAAAATTTTAAAAACTTTGGTAGGCATTACAAAAGGAGGATCCGCCCCTGTCTGCTTTGTGAGCATGGTGATTTATTTTGACTTTTGCTGAATTTGTATAACAATGGGTCGGCTTGTATGCAGCAGTTTGTGCAGGGGTGTGTTTTGGGACTGATCTCGTGCCCTGCTAATGTGCAAGGGAGGTTATGCCATCCTTTTTTGTATAGTGATGCTTTTCATGTAATACAGGCAAGGTTTTTTTGTCTACCTTGTCTGTGCCATAGAGATTCATCTATTCATCAATACAATTCATATGCTTTTCAAAAGAGAAAAGGCTACTGTGAAGTATTATAGTTGAGGTATTTTATATCTGGGATCAGAGTTATGAACTCTTTTGAAAGACCTATAAAGATTTATTTTGACAACTCAGTTGCAGTATTCTTTTTTAAGAATAACAAAAGTGGAAGTCCTAGCAAATCGATATCAAAGAATCTTGGTTTCAGAGATCATGTTCAGAAGCACGAGGAATGGTTGCTGTATAGATGCATGTATTTGGTGAAAACTAAAAAGATAAAATTTAGTGATAACTACTTAGAATTTAATTTCTTCCTTGATGGTGGGATGCAAAACCAATAAGGGTTCCTATCCTAGCCTGTCATAAGCTAAACCCTCAGGTGAAAATAGGGTTTGAAGGTTCTGGGCATAGGCTAGAAGACACTTTTCATATACTTTGCAGTGTTTTGCCTACAACAATATCTTATTTAATTACACAAAGTACGTGGTTGTTTACCCTTGAATCATACTTTAACTTTAGTCAATGGTTTTTGCTCAGCTTAACTTTAGTCAATTGTTGCCACTCAATCAATGGTTCCATGAAAGAAATATTTAACAGATCAAAGGCATATATATTTACACTTAATTCATTCGGTTGTCAACGTTCAAGCAGTTAATTTTGAGATGAGCTAACAAAGACAATGACATTGAGAAAGATCACTCTTTTCTTATCTCAACAATTGTTAATTATATTATTTCTTTTATTAAAACTAATCACTTCATCAAGTGAAACCCGAAAACTATGATGTTTTTGCCACTTTTGACGAATCTACATTTGATAAAATCATGAAAAAGATTGTATCGATTATCATAACTAATTCTTATTATATAATGATAATGTTATTTTCAAATACCATGAATGCCGTGACAAAAACCGTGACTTATTATAACCAGAGGGGGATGACATTGACAGTCGACTAGCTAGCAACATAAGACAATGATTAATATATACAACAAAGTTGCGAATCATTTGATTTATATGTTAGCCAATTAGTCTATCTTTGTTATCCAAACGTCGTCTCTGACTTATCCAAATATCCCCCCAAAAAAAAAGCGCTGTCTTTAAATTATTTGTCTTTCAGATGACTTAGCTTACATATATATCTGATTTATCTTTAATAATTTGTCTTGATAAATTTTATAATTTTATTGAAAAATAATGACTCGTTATGGTCTCTATTTATATATTAAATTAATTTATAAACTCATAAATTCTCATTACATATAACCAAATTTGATTCTATAAAAAAGTTAGAGGTTCAATTTAATTCATCAAAAATTATTATTTGCTTATGGAATTTGCATTGTATATGGTATTTTGTTTCGTCGAAGTTCAATGAACTAAAGAGGTAGGCTAAAGCGTAAAGAAATACCCTTTTGACTTTGTCAGGTCAAAGTAGAACAAAATTATGACTTTTTTTTTTTTGAGAGCATGATTTTATGACTTTTGAAATGGCTAACCAATAATCATGTAATAATTAAACAACATTTATGTATTTGACTAATTGATTAATACATGATTCCTCTGTTTAAAGAGTAGAATTTGAATTTATCTTTTTTCAATTCAAAAAAATAAATTATGTAATAATTAAATAATTAAACATATTATTTTACGATTAGAAAAAGAGTAATTGATTAATTAGTTAAAAGTCAAAGAATGTTAATAGTTTGAACGAAAGTTAATAGTAAATATGTAAGATTTTGCCATTTTATGGTTGTTCTTTATTATTATTCTTCGTTCTTTGAAGCAAAAAGTGAGTTCTCCAAAGAAGCCACTTGCATTTTATGGGTTCACGATGTAATTTAGGTAAATCCACTTTGATTTCATCATTTTATGAGACTCAAAAGGTAGAACACAGTCAACATTTATCCCACCCTATAAAAATAAAGTATTCCCATTTTATCTCCAATTTTGACTTAACATGAGAAGTAGTGAACTTTTATGTATTTATTAATGGAAGATAAGTACTCCCTTTGTCTCCTTTTTATTGTCTTTGTTTTTTATTTGTGCAAAAATTAAATCAAACGTTTTTAATTTATAATATATAAATGTACCCCAATTTTGATCCTTCGAGTGTGTGATATATACGTGGATTAATAGTTGAAGAGGGAGTTGCCATCCAAAATTGACTGACAGTTTGAAAAGCATATCCTTTAAGGCCAAGTCTAAAATCTGAAGATGAGTGGCCTCCGTTCCGCTCATGTGCAATGAGTGGCAACTGCATACGCCACTCCACGTTCCGCTCATGTGCTTTGCCTCTGTTAGCCCCAACTTCAATACATATAAAAGATAATAAAAATCCATATACTACACTATTTTATTCAAGTTGTGTTAGGTGAAAAAAAAGAAAACTGACATTAAATCTAACTTCGTTTACATTTTTATTTATTTGATGAAAGGTATTGAAAATTTTATTGAAACCCCAATCAGTATGTCGTTACAAGTCTTTTACATAATTGATAAAAGGTTTCTAGCGATATTAGTATCTTAGTTCGAATGTAAAAGGATCTCTACATTTTTGTTAAGTTCAAAATATTATTTAATTTAAAATAAGAATTTTAAAATTTATTTTCATGTAATAAAAAGTGAACAACTTAATTAAATTAAAAATTAATTTACAGGAAAGTCAAAAGAAAAAATGTTTGGCAGACATTGAAAAGTCAATCCCTGTCCTGATGCTTTTCTTTGGAAACAAGGACAAATTGTAGTCATTGTTTGATGATGGGCATGTAGTTTGGGCGGCGACCGTAAACTGGTGAAGGAAAGTGGAAGGAGAAATAGTAAAGACTCTTATCTTTTTATTATTATTATTTAAATACTCTCTTTCTACTGTACAAATAATAAACTTATTAGGTAATAATTTATTAGGAAAGAAATAAAAACGGGTGATCTAACACTGATTTTTAATATTATGTCAAATTTTTAAGACATTATCAATTTAAAAATCAATTAGTAATAAGTGTAGTGATTTTTATTATATTTAAATTCTTTGTATATCCTTATTTTAGTTTATATAAAATTTCTTTAACATTACTCTAACAGGAACATGTTTTTTACATGAAACCTTTTAATGATTGAATTCAAGTTAATGGTAGAGAGAATGGAGGGTTAGTAGGGGCTCTCATACTTTCCACAAGTTTTAAATTTCACAATATGTTCTTACCTTTTGAAAAAAAAATTTTATAATTTTTCCTCTATTATAATTTTTTTTTTGATGAGATGTTGCCACAGCAATTAATCAACAACTAATTTTAGTAGATTTAGAAATTAAAATAAAATATATTACAGTTGAATTATTCCTAACCCCATTGCCCCAAGACTCCACGATTAATTGACCCACCTCTTGTTGGCCTCCAAACGCGAAATCTAATCTCCCCCACTAATTGGAGTTGAAGCAAAGATAAAATAACTAGATGATTTACTTTTCATTAAATAGATAACTCAATTAATTGATTGAAAAATATTCATTAACTTTGTGTTAATTTTAGGGGGGGAAAAAACACAGTCCATGATATTTATGAGTCCAAATTATTTTAGCAATTTCAATTAATATTTTTGTTTTAATTATTTTTTTAAAAGTTCTGTATGATATTCTTGTTGCAAAAGTTGAAATTGAATTCTCTTTTACAAGATCTAACTAAGCTTCTAAGTCCCTTGGAGAGTGCAGAAGTGACTGAGATGAACGTGTGCATGACACAGCGGTAGCCTAGCACCTGTGGGTAGAAGATCTGGAAACAAACGTGTATGACAGAGACATCCTTTATCATATACGTATAATAATATAATGGCTGCTTTCACCAACGATAACTCACAGTTGACATTCATAAATCCAGAATGTCAAAGGCCAAATATATTACGTTTGTAATCCTACATGTTGAAATCTTCCTGGTCAAAATGATAGATGACTTGCATCATGTTCAAACTTTTCTTTTTTGGTACAACGTATTCCAGCTTGAACCAGAAATTTTCCTATAAATTCCTTCTACATCTTCTCGCTTTCGACATAATTCAAAAAACCATGGGAAGTTTAAGGCCTGTAGCTGTTGTTTCACTGCTTTCTGTTCTCCTTCTTTCCATTCCACTACAGGGAACTTCAGATTCTGCCCAGGAAACCTTTCTTCAATGTCTTGTGGACAATTCTCATCCATCTCACCCCATCTCTGCAGCAATCTTCACTCCTCAAAATCCCTCCTATTCCTCTGTTCTGCAGTCTTCCATTCGAAATCTTCGATTCAATGAGACCTTCACCCGAAACCATTCCTTATTCTCACTGCTAAGCATGAGTCCCATATCCAAGCTGCCATTGTTTGTGCCAAAAAGGATAACATTCAAATGAAGATTCGAAGTGGAGGCCATGACTACGAGGGCTTATCATATGTTGCTACTGTTCTTCTTCTTTGTCCTTGACATGTTCAATCTTCGATCCATTGATGTAGATGTAGCAAACGAGACTGCCTGGGTTCAGACAGGAGCAACACTTGGTGAAGTTTACTACAGAATCTCCGAGAAGAGCAAAACACATGGCTTCCCAGCTGGTGTTTGTCCCACAGTTGGCGTCGGTGGTCACTTTGGTGGAGGTGGCTATGGTAATATGATGAGAAAATATGGTCTTTCTGTCGATAACATCGTCGATGCATATTTCATTGATGTTAATGGCAGACTTCATGATAGAAAATCCATGGGTGAAGATATCTTCTGGGCCATCAGAGGAGGTGGGGCCGCAAGCTTCGGGGTTGTTCTTGCATACAAAATTAAGTTGGTTCGTGTTCCCGAACAGTCACTGTCTTTCGGGTTGAGAAAACTCTGGAGGAAAATGCGACGGATATCGTAGACCAGTGGCAACATGTTGCGGATAAGCTGCTGAAGACCTCTTTATCAGACTTGTCCTCGATGTTGTAAACAGCAGTCGAAACACTGGCGAAAAGACCGTAAGGGCTGCATTCATTTCCTTGTTCCTCGGAGATTCTGAGAGACTTCTTTCTATCATGAATGAGAGATTTCCCGCACTGGGTTTAGCTCAATCCGATTGCATTGAAACAAGCTGGGTTCAATCTGTCCTATTCTGGACCAACATTTCCATCGAGACAGAAACAGATATTTTGTTGGATCGAACTCCTTCATCATTGGTTTTCCTGAAAAGGAAATCAGATTATGTGAAGAAACCAATTCCAAAAACTAGTTTGGAGTGGCTTTGGAAGAGAATGATTGAACTACAGGTGCCACAACTGCTATTCAATCCTTACGGTGGGAGGATGGCTGAAATTCCATCGACAGCAACTCCTTTCCCACACAGAGCTGGAAACCTATGGAAGATTCAATACGTAACGAATTGGAATGAAGCTGGCACTGAAGCAGCAGATCGTTACATAGGTTTGACGAGGAAGCTCCATGGATACATGACTCGTTTCGTGTCCAAGAACCCAAGGGAGGCATTTCTCAATTACAGAGACATTGATTTGGGTGTCAACCACAATGGAAGACAAAGCTACATGGAAGGAAGAGTTTACGGAATCAAGTATTTCAAGGGAAATTTCAACAGATTGGTGCATATTAAGACTAAGGTTGATCCTGACAATTTCTTTAGAAATGAACAAAGTATTCCCACACTTCCACACTAATGCAACTGAATCAAATGGTGGCAGATATGTAGTGTATTCATTAATTTATTATCAGTCTATAACTGTTTTCTCGGTTGCTAGAAGTGTAGGAAAAATAAGTTTCGTCTTTCTTAAGGATAAAACAAAAGATTGTTGTGCAACCAAAGTTTATTTGAAAAAGAAAAGATGAAACAAATATAATATTTTATTTGTGTAATTAGAACAAATTTTATGTGAAAACGTGAAAAAAAGATCTTTATAATTTTATGGTAGTTACTGTAGATCATGATTATTATTTTATACACAGCTGAAGCTTTTAAATTTTACGAATTAAATTGATTTGATAATTAATATTATATTTATTTAATAACTAATTAAATATTAATTTTTATAACATGTCTAATAAGACATGAATCAGCCTTTACGGAGATTAAAATTTAAGTGCCCATGAATGTATAAGATGATTTTTCTTATATTCGAATATTATAATATATGCTAAACTAATGTTACATATGGATAATATACTTCAAATTCAATGAAGCCAAAGAAAAAGAAAGTTTAAGCCACTTATTTTTTTTGCTCAGCACCTTACCACTTAACACTATTTTACGTCATGATCAGTATTTAATTTTTTCTTTCAAACAAAAAGTTAAAAAAATAAAAAAACAATGTTGTTCTAACTTATAAGAAAATGAAAGTAAGAATAATAATTTCAAATTTAATTATTTATGAATAATAATAAAAAATTACAGATGCTTCTCGTCCTTAGTCTTAATGGCACGATCCATAAAAGCAATAAAAAAATAGATATTAATATGCATGTGATGTAGTCACAGATTTAATTTTCATCTTTATTATAAACAGAAAAGGGTTAGACAATGCATAACTTTGGAATAGGCAGTACTCCTATCATATATTTTATAGGAATAATCTTTGATGTCTTCTATACACTGTTAGGTCATCTTGACATTTTATTAATAAGGTTTTTAGGTAATAATACTTTATTATTTTGAAAGAAATAAAAAGTTGATATTAAAACCTAATATTGCTTTGAGACTCTATTATTTTGAAGGAAATAAAAGGTGAATCTTATTCTTTTTACCTTATTAATGAAGTGTTAGGATTTGGTGGCTTGACGGTATATAAAAACTATACATTATCAGTTTATCAAATATTAATCTTATTTTATATATACTCGCCCCCCATTCAACAACATTTTTGCTAACAATAGACACTGCCCCCATGTAAAATTTTCTTCCTCATCAAATTACACTCAATGTTTTGGATACGTGCTTATAAAGGTGTTAATACCATTGATGATTTGGGATGGTGGACCAAACCTCATCTCTCTTTAAAGACGAGAACGCTGCCTCACCACATGTGAGCACTTCATGATCTCCACCACCCACTGGTGAATTCAAATTTAATGTCGATGGCTTGGCCAAAGGTAAGCCAGGACTTGCTGATTGTGGTGGCATTTTTCGAGATTCTAAAGGTTATGTAGTTGGCTTATTCTTCTGCCTTCTCGGCTTACACGACTCTAACTTCACAAAGCTACTGGGCATCCTCAAGGCTCTATAACTCTTTGCTACAACTCCTTACGCAACATTTCCTTTAATCATTGAATTTGATTTGCACATAACTCTCTCATGGATTAACTCAATTGAACAACGATCATGGGATAAATGGAGTATTTTTAACAGGTTGGACTCTTTTTGCGTTATGCTAAGTACAGTTTCTTTTAAGCATATCTTTAGAGAAGGGAACAGTTTTGCTGATTCCTTAGCAAAGTATGGTGTTAATAATAACACATCATTTTCTACTTGGTGGTGAGTTGACTTAAATGGTTCATTTGACTTAAACCTCTCCTGCAATTCTTTCTCTTTGTTGTGGACTACCAGACTTTTTTTTATTCATCATCGTTTTATTACTATTATGAGCTATCTTCTCTCTGTTTGGTTGCTCTTTGCTACACTAGTTTTTTTTGGTTCATTTTGTAGGCAGGTTCTATCCTTAGCTTGTTCTTTGGATTATGTTCTTTGCAACAGAGAGTACTTTTCATCTGTTGCTTGCAGTTGCTATACCTATGGCTAACGGGCCTTCTTTTATACCTATTAATTAATTATAATGAAATCTTTGATTAGCTTAGCAAAAAAAAAATTAGCACAGATTAACCATAAAAAACTACATTGATCCATAATACCTTACACTCATGCCATGAATATCTCCATTGCAGCTAGATTTGAATCTACCACACCATTAGGCCTAGAAAAAATTACAAAAATATTCCTAGAGGAATTTTTAAGCACTCCAACATTCGATGGACCCAAAAAATTTCTTGGTGGCATCCGCACCAATTCTTTTATGTTTTCAGCCTTTACTATTGGTTTCCTAGCAAGTAATCAACATTGGTTTCGCCCACTATAATTCCTCATCAAAAAATTCTCCTCACCATCTATAGCTTTAGCCAACATAGTGCCCTTAGCTTCAGTAATTGTGCTATTGCCTTCGGTTCCCACTCTTTCTTCTCAAAAATCATCTCGTTTTGCTCTCCCCAAATAGTTGCCGCACAAAATGAACCACCATATCCCATAGACCTACATAACGCCGTCAATTGTTTTTGTTAAAAATATTTAAGAAGGAGGAAGAAATTTTGAGAAGAAAGAAGAGTGACTTTAAGGGCATGAATTAACATTTTTCTTAAGGTATTTTCTCAATTTCCAAGATACAACAATATCCTTAACACACTTATTAGAATTGTGAAAACAGCAGTGTCAGAATGTTATTTATATAATAAGCCAATGTATACGTCTTTCAATGAAAAAACTTGTTTCTTTTCATAATACAACTTTTCAAATAGTTATTTCCTTTCATAATATAACTATTTTGTAGTTATATCTAATAATCTTTCATAATATAACTATTAAAAGTTATATCTAATAACCTTTCAATTAAAAGTTATATTCTAATAAGGTAATTATTTACAACTCTTTAAACTTTCATCAATAAGTCCAACATTAACAAACTATCTAACAAGCCCCCACTAGTTTGAAATAGTCGTTCACTTTTAGCACCATAATAGCCATGTGCTTACCCTATTCATAATAAACATTTACAAAAGAATCCCTTAGATTTTTCTTGTTGAAACGACATCACTCCTTATATTTATGTAGGTGGAGTTTTCATTAATGTCTCCATTGCTCTAGACATTTTTCTTTCCATAATATAATATTCAAACTCCATAAAGAGTATAAACTCAACCTTTATGTGCAATGGACTGCACTATTTTCAGGTAAGATTTTGAGAAATGGATTCTAATAATGCATCATAAACACTTAACAATAATTTGTTTTTACCTATTGAACTTCGTAATTAAAGGTTACTAATCAAAAGTTGGGTTCCCACTATTGGTGTCTAATAGGGGTTTTAAACCCATTCCTTTTGTCATACTACTTACCAAATCCCTTGGTAAATCTTTTGTTAGAGGATTGACCAAATTACTTGCAAATTTAACAAATGTTATAGTAATTACTCTATTAGAGATTAACTATTTAATGTAATGTCTTAAACTAATATGTTAAGATTTTTTATTGTAGACATCACTATATGCTTTAGACATTGTAGCAGCACTATCATTATACAAAGAAAAGGCAAGCATCAGTTGTGGCCACAACTTTATCTCTAATAACAAATTTCTCAACCATTCTGCTTCCTTTCCTGTTGCAACTAAAGCTATAAACTTAAACTCCATTATTGAATGTGAGATGCAAATCTGTTTCTTAGATGCGTAACTAATGTCACCATCTCATAGTGTAAAAATCTAACCTGAAGTGACTTATTATCATTTGCACTAGTAATCTAACTTGTATTAGAGTATCCTTCTAATACTCTTGGATAGTTTGAATAATAGAGGCCAAAATTTTTAATTCTTTTAAGATATCCAAGAACTCTCCCAATGGCTTTTCCATGAATTTTACTAAGCTTACTTGTATATCTTGATAATTTGTAGACTACAAATGTAATATCTGGCCTAATGCAATGCATAGCATACATATACTTCCAATAGCATTAGCACATTCAAGTTGTGCAATTACTTGGTCACTATTTTCATGCATTTCATACTTGAGTCATATGGAGTACTAAATTCTTTTATATTGAGATGTTTAAATTTATTGATTAATTTCTCAATATAGTGATTTTGATTAGTAACATAACCATTATTATGGTTTTTAACTTTCATACCTAAAATGGTATTAACCTCATTCAAATCCTTCATTTTAAATATAAAGGTTAAAATTTCTTTGTTTCATTTATGCCGATCATGCTATTGCTAAATATTAGCATATCACCAACATAAAAACATATTATTTCTCTATAATCTCTGGTAAATGTTAAATAAATGCACTTGTCAGCCCCATTATATTTAAAATCATAAGATAATATGAATAAATCAAAATTTTCATGCCATTATTTAGGAGCTTACTTTAGCTCATAAAATGATTTAACCATTTTACAAACTTTTTTCTCATTTCGAGGAAGCATAAAACCTTCTAGTTGTTTTGTATATACCTACTCCTTTAAATTACCATTTAAAAAGACTGTTTTAACATCTATTTGATGTATATGCAACATATAGATTGAGGTTAATGCTATAAGTATTCTAATGGATGTTTTTCTAGCTATTGGAGCATATGTATCAAGATAGTTTATGCCTTCCTTTTGTTTGAAGCCTTTAGCAATTAATCTTCCTTTAAAAGTTTATACAAAACCATCTGTATTATATTCTTTCTAAACACCCATTTATATCTAATTGGTTTAGAACCTGAAAGTAAATCAACTAAAACCCATATATTATTAGATATTATTGAGTCCATTTCATTATTGACAACTTCTTTCCAAAAGGTTGCATCTCTTGAAGACATTGCTTCACTAAAAGTTTTAGAATCTTTATCTACATTTAGTAGAATCAATGTTTTATTTATTATATTAGTTCTATCTCCTTCAACTAGAAAAAACAATTGAATTAGAGAAATATAATCAAAATCTAAATATTTCTCTTTACTTAATCTTTGACTCGTTCTTCACTCAATAGATTTATTAATTTCTTTTCTTTTTTCACCAATTATTGGAGCCAATTCAATTTGCTTTTCTTTTTCAAAATTAACAAATTCAAACTTATCACATTTTTGTTTCTCCATGTTAACATTAGTAGTTGTT